CCGCCGTCAGCGACGGCGGCGGCGGCCGCTCTCACGCGCGATCTCCGACATAGTATATACACTGGAGCACCGCGTAGTTGGAAGCAACGACGGCACACACGGTTTACATAAGAAGGGGAGTATTAAACTCCGCGCTCCGCGAGTTTCGGGCGATTGCGGATCTACCGGGTGTTCCTACAACTCGTAAAATAATACACCTCAAATTTTTACTAGATTTTTATTAGTACTAGAACACGTACGTAAAACAGAAAGATCGCTGTTTTCAACTTCTTGTCGGTATTTTCGGTTGCTATTTCTCCTTTTCCAGATAATTTGGTAGAAAAACTTTGACTCGCGTTTTCAGATATTTTGTAAAATATTTAGCGAAATCGTTCGAATTCTTGGAATTATTGGAAAACGCATCTGCTAACAAAATGCTAATTTTTAAAAATTAAAAATACCAAACAGTCATTTTTAACCGTTTCTATTTTTTTTTCTGGTATCAATGATAAGATTTCAAAATTGTCTCATTTTAATGTCCCGTCGGGATAAAGAGAGTAATTGACGAAAAGTTAAAAAATTCGAAAAATGTATTGGTACATGAAAAAATATGAAAATATAAATGACCATTCAATACTTTTAGTGTTAAAGTAGTAGTGACTTTGCAGGAGAGAGCATACAATACGTGCGGTTATCAGTTTAGCGAGGCAATCGCGTCTTTAGAAAATATTTCTCGAATTGAAACAGCAACAAGAAAACATACGTGCGGAAAGACACGTTTGTTTTGAAGTACACATTCCTCATTTTCGTTTTAATTTTATACGATTTATAGAAGACACTTTAGAGAATTGGCACGCGACGTTGCGCCAGTAAGATTCTAGCACGCACTGACCTTGCTCTCGGAAACCGGCGCGGGATAATTGTGCAGGCGGATGTGCAACATCGTTCGCGTTGGCGCGTATTTGCGGACGAGACGCGTGTAATTTGCTCTTATCGAACGAAGAGAATTAAGAGAATTGTACTCCGATTTGAGAGAACATTTGACGAAACGGAAGTTTCCTTTCGACGAAGCGCCTCGTCCGGGAGTCCGTAACGTCCGTTAATGCAAATTTAACTCAGGGTAGTTGATCTAATCCTTATCCGGGCAATCTATTTTCGTACCGTCATCGGACAAACAGAGCGCAACGCATACCGCAGCTATATAAACATTTTTTTACGCATACCGTTTATATAAATGTGGTAGAAGTTGATCTATATCTTTAAGCTTCAACTTAAAATGCACACGTACACATGTTTCTCCTCTTTCTTTTTATTAGTAAATTTTATGTAATATTATTTCAATAAGAAATAGATATATTAGGATATCTGGAGTAAGCTTCTCGTTTGATTAAGGATTAAATTTGTTGCAATCCTTTGTTATGACTTTTTTTTCCATTAATTGTGTTATGACTTTTCTTTCCAGTATCAAGAAAATATTTTTTAATAAACCAAACCTCTTGGAAATTGTTAATTATTTTTGTTCAGTTTACAGGAAAATTCGAATTTGTCCTGAATTAATCTTCGGAATGTCAGAGAAAGTATATTTTCTCGAATCTGGAAAGTTTTATTTTAGAAAGAAGTTTTCTAATTTAGTATATTCCTTGTTTCAAAGTAAGACACAATAGGGGACATTATATCGTCTCTTTCAACACACAAAAACTTAAGATTTCTATACTCAGATGTTTAATCCAATTGTCAACATTATCTAGAAGTTCTACAGTGCGCAACTAATAATTAGAACTTTATATTGCCTGCACAATATAATTAAATAAAGAAAGAATAACAATTCAATAAGATACAGCGAATATCATTTGTGATAAAAAAAAATTATGCAAAATTTATATAAATCTCATTTCGCTCTCGAATATCATTTGTGATAAAAAAAATTATGCAAAATTTATATAAATATCATTTCGCTCTCGAAATTCATCATGGAGTTAAAAACTTGCACTATTAAGAAAAATCACTTTAACGAATAAATCCACTAAAACGGAAGTCTAATAAAACAAAATAAGTGAAATACGTTACGTTCGATGTACCTATTCAACTGCGATACGCTCACTAACGACCTAAGCTAATTAAGGTTTTTTACTATCGAATGAAGATCTTAATGTGATAAATACTTAGCATAATGAAATACTAAGTACAAGAAGGGTTGCATATTCTTCGCTTGTACGTACTTATGATACCTTCGATATCTTTAGATATTAGAGACGCATGGAATGATTGAAAAATGAATCTAAGAGGCCAGTAATTACGCAAGTCATTAGGACAAATGGGGTAATATGGAGTGTGATAAGTACATAGCCGAACGACTCTTTGATTCTGAATCGCCAGTAAATGGTATAAGTAGTACGGCTTTCCATACGCATACACCACGTGTATTCGCACGCTGTCATCGGGGTCTCTACGCGGCATCTCGGTTGCGTGCAACGTGTATGTCTCGCGATGAATCGAGTGGGATAAAGGGTGAGAGAACGGTGAGAAAGCGTCAATGGAACAAAGAGAAAAGCCAACCGCTCGCCACGGGTTGTAAGAGGAAATCGCCGAGCGGTATAATAACACGCGCGCACATATGGACGATGCAGTGGCGTACGTCGCAAAAGAGAGACGAGAGCAATTTTTACGGGGGTTTCGATCGGTTAAGAAAAAGAAGAACAACACCATTCTCGCACGTTAGCTAATTTATTCTAATTTGCACGAGATTTCTGTTTGCGTTATACAGCGCTCCGGCCGTTCATTCAATGTGTGCGTAATTCCTCGTTTAGTTTGTATTACGAATATCATGAGAGAGGCGAGTAAATTAATATAACGAGCGGTGTAAATTCACATGAAATGCGGAATCCGTGGAAATTTAATTTAAATCACGTCGAATAATAAACAGAGATAAACGTAAAGTATGATGTAGCTTTCAATAATTACGGTCGTGTTTGATAGAGCTGGTAAATAAAGCGTAGAAACATGCAGTTGCGTTTGACTCACCGTGCTGATGAGGGGCCGAGAATGCTGAATGCCTGCGTGGTGACATGTTAGGATGATTACCCTGGCTACCTGGTGGTTGCATAGAAGACAATGCACCCAGTGGCGTGTAGGACTTGCAAGGCTGTTCCGTTTTTTGCTGATACACAAAGGGACAGATGATCAAAAATATGTACTTGATTAAACTATTAAACGAACAATTGAGAGGAATTATAATTTAATGAAATTTATATTTAATAGAAATGTAAAAAATGTATACAATGTATAAATATTTAATAAAAATGTGAAAACAAAGATTAACTTATAAAAAATATAAGATCTCTTTAAAATAAAAGATCTCTTTAGTAATAACGATTTTATAATTTTTTTAAAGAAGATAATTTATAAGAGTTATATTGTAATAAACGAATCACATAAGAATATGATAAAAAATTATTGATTTTTATAGAGCTAATCTTAAGCAAATTTTCATATCTTTTGAATATCGAGATATGTCAAACAAAAATTCGATACAAATGTTATATCAAATGTATCACCAGTATACATATATGTTTCCAACGTTAAGAACGGATTAAAAATGGTATTCTATATAGAGATCTGCCTTTAAAAAAATGTTACTTCTTCATAAAAAGTCGTTTATAAATGTTGAACAAGTTATAATGCACATTTCTATTTTGGATGTGCACATCATGAATGTTTGTATAATGCGCGAGGAGCAAATGGTTTTGAATTAAACACAAACCTGGTCATGAAGCTCGGTAGCCACTGCAGTAGCTGCAGTTTGAGTATGACTGGTAGAACTGATTCTGTACTGCATCCCGGCAATACTGCAAAAACCTTCGTGATGAGTGGACCGGGTTTGATTGACGTAAACACCTTGAAAAGAATTTGTTCGTAGTAAGAAGATCGTTTAGAGTTTTCGCGCTTAATCCACGCATGATTAATTACCAGTGATAGTGACGTCGGTGTCCTGGTTAACGATGACAACTTTCTTGGATGGCTTAATAACCTCCTCCGGATCGGAACCTTGTCTTGTCTTCTTCTTATCTACGTCAGAGTCATTTTGTCTACGTCTTTTAATTATCTCTACTTCCGACTCACTGGAGGAATCACTGCTGCTACCACAACGATTTTTCTCGTCGGAGTAGGAAGCAGCCAAAATGGCAGTGGCATTAAGACTGGCCATCCTCTTGCAAACAACCATGTCCTTCAGGTCCATTACTTCCTCGTTTCTCCTCCTTCTTTTGGTCATTTTCTTCTTGCTTGGTTCAGCATTCTTTTCCTTCTCGCAGTCCTCATCGGAGGAAGACGAAGATGACGAACTCTCCAGCATATCCCAATGTTTGCCACGTAGTCCTGGCACATTTCTCAGTTTTCTCTTCAAGACGTTCTCCTCCGTTTTGCATTCGACTTTCTTCTCTTTCTCTTTACGCGGTTGCTCCTCCTTCTCCTCTTTCATTTTCTTCGGCTTCTCTCTCTCCTTCTCCTTTTCGGGTTTTGGTTTGCAAAAACCTCCAAGATAGACTCCGCCGGTCTCATTTTCATAGAGGCAGTGAACTTTAGCCAAGGCATTCAATGACGCGACCCTGTGTCGTTTTGGTCCACTCCAAAAGCCAAAAAGTCGCATTCGTCGCGCACGTTCGTCCGACGGTGAGTTAGCCCTCTCTTTCTTAGCATCCCTTTGCCTACTCCTCTTGTATTCGTCGTCAGAATCACCTTCGGAATCAGATTGAGATGTAACGCCACTGGCACTCTCACCATTCATCGCCTCGATCTTTAAATCTAATTCAATCGTATTCTCAACGCCGATTTGTTCCTGTTTGGAATTTGTGGTAGACTTTACGCTATCTTCAGAAATTTTAGATTTATTAGATTCCTCGGTAGATGCATCTTCAGGTGAAACTGATGTTTGATTATTGCTCTCCGTTTGTACCCTTATTGTTTTCCCAATCTTTTTCGGGGCTTTGCTGCTAATTTTGCTACCACTTTTGACAGCTTTCTTATTATCCTGCAATTTTGGTTGAAGAATCTCCTCTTTGCTCCTATCGGAATCCTTGTCTTCTTCAATCTCGCTTTTAATGCTACTCACTTCTGGTCCTTGACAAATCTCGTCTTTGTTCGCGATCTTTTTATGTTCGGTTGAAACTTCATCAAACTCTTTCAATTCAATTTTCTTCTTGGCCATAATCTTCTCCGTTATAGTTTTCAACTTATCTTCTCTTTTCAGAACAGCACTGATCTTCGAATGTTTTTGAGGCAATTTAGCTTTCATGTGTTTAGCCAGCTTCGGTTTTTTCTCTTGCAGAGTCTTACTCTTGGCGAGGCTACTACTTTTCTTCTTTGCTTTCTTAATCGCATCCTCGTCTTCGCTAATTTCTTCATCTTTTACTGACTTAACTAATTTGATCTTTTTGTCCACCAGCCTTTTAACTACCGATAGATGAGGCTTCTTTGTCAGAACTGTTTTTCTCGTAATGCCCTTCTTCTGACTTTGTTTCGCTTTGGAATCCTTCTTCGTTCTAGAAGAAGAAATCTTATTGCTTGCCGCATCCTTCTCGGGAATTTTCTTACGTTCAGATTTTTTATCCTTCACGATAGAATTCTTCGATATTGATTTAACATCGGATTTAATTAGCTTGACATCTTTCTTTTTCTCTTCTTTACTCCTTTTTTTAAGTGGAGGGAGGATATCAACCTTATCCTCAACCGTATCCTTATCCTCCGTTGTATTTAAAGATTTCGTATTGTCCTCTATACTTGCATTATCATCTAATTTTACACTCTTCTTTTTTTCTTCAGTTTTCTCGATTTTCTTCTTGTTGTCCACTGATTGTTTCTCCGATTTTGCTTTCTCTTCGCATTTTTGTATTTTTTTCTTATCTGTAGCTGTTTCTTGGCTCACTTCTTCATTAATTGCTTTGTCATCCCTTTTCTCTATTTTTCTCTCGTCAATTTTATCACATTTCTTTTCATTATCCTTATTCAATTGTTTCTTCTTCTCATCAAATTTATCAAGTCGTTCCTTCTTTTTTTCCTCCATCTTCTTTTTGTCATCCAGTTTTTTCCTCTCCTCTACCTTTTCTAATTTCTTTTTATCATTGTCTATCTTTTTCTTTAGATCTTCCAGTTTATCATTTTTCTTTGATTTCTTCTCCTTTCTCACATCCGGCATGATCTTCTCTGTAAATGTGCGACGTTTCTTGGCGACTGTTGGCATCTTAGTTGCCTTTTTGGCAACGACAGCCTTCTTCTGTGGCTTCATTATGATTGTATTCTTTACATCTTCAAAATAATTATAAATATGCTTGAAATACGCGAATGTCCAATGTTAATTTCCACAACTACCTAACTGCCATTGTAGATTTTAATAATCGCGATACAACTCGCAAGCTGGATTTATCTGTAAATAAACAATCCCAACGCATATCAAATAATCACAAAGTAAAAACGCGGATTATTATTATTTACATTGCAACTTCAATAATCAAACAGGTGATATACTGCAAACAATTTATTTCGCTAACAGTCCATATTCATCCATTTTTATCTTTTTTTTTTTCATATACGCGATTTTACATCGCGATAAAGAAATTCTTCACGGAAAAACCGACCGGACGGGAAAACGTTAACAGATTAGGTACCACGATCGCATCGTTTTATCAACGTGTAATAAAACGCGTTACGCGTAATAAAACGACAAAACGCACGTGAATCGGAGCATACGCGAGTGAGGCGCGCGACGGAAATCGTAATGATACTTCACAAGCGAAGCGAAAATCCGCCGCGCCGCGTCGGAGCGCGGAGTGCGCGCACTCTCTCCCTCATCGACTTGTTGACAAATCGATCCCTTTAAATCACCGCTGCGCCCGTCTGCGATTCGGCACCGCGACAGGTAGAGAGAGACTCCGGGCGATAAATAATCAACTCGCGACGCGGCTCGGCCGCGTTCTTCTCCACTCCCGTGGCTTTTTCGCGCGAGCGTGCGCTCCGTGTCCTGCATACGGCGGACAAAGATGTTCGAGAAGCACAACGGGCACACGGCGACACACGGAGGATTACGCGAGGCCACGAAGACGAGAATACGCGACGGTGACGGTGACGATGACGGTGACGATGACGGTGACGGTGACGATGATGGTGACGGTGATGGTGACGATGACGGCGATGTCGACGTTGACGGCAGCTGCGGCTGCGGCTGCGGCTGCGGCTAAGGCTATGACTGCGACTGCGACTGCGACTACGACTGCGACTGCGACTGCGACTGCGGCAACGGCGACGTCGACGGCAGCACGCCCTTTAAAAAGGCGGCCGTGGACGGTCGGCCACAAGTGGCCCTGACAAGTGTGCGAGAAAGAGAGAGAGAGAGAGAGAGAGAGAGAGAGAGAGAAAGAAAGAGAGAAAGAGAGAGAAGGACTCACCAACCTGCTGATCGATCTCAATCGCCGCACGAGGAGGAAATCTTCACGGATGGCGATTGCACACGCGGCGACGCGATCGCGATACGGCGGCCGACGCGACAACACCACGCACCACGTTTTAAGTTAACGGGGAGAACGCGGGAGAACTGAAACGGGACGGGACGGGACGGGACGGGAAGAACGGCGGAGGCGGCGGAGGCGCCAGTAAACGGGTGTCGATGTTTACCTCTCTGGCGAGCCCTTCCGTCGGCTAAACTCGGCCTCGCGAATGCTTTTTTTTTTAAACGGCGAATCGGAGCACCGAGCGATTGGTGGGCGCAGAGCGGCGACGGCACCAGCGACGACGGGCTCCACACAAGTCCTGGTCCAGGGTGCGGGTATTCTCGACGGGACGCGCGACCGCGAGCGACAGCGGAAGGCCTTCCCCGGCGGAGGTTCGACGGCCCTTTTTCGCGCGGTCTATCGCGAAACTGGCGATCTCGCGTCGCGCAGCGCGCACCTCGCACGACGTCCCTGCCCTTTTACCGTAGCCTCGTCGGCCATTTTCTTCCTCGCGCCGCTCCCCCACTCCTCCCGCTCGGTATCCGCTGTCACGTAGTGCCGGAAGCGTGACTCGTCGAGCCGCCGTCCGGTGGCAGCACTTCGCGGCCCCGTGAACGGCAAATGTCAAACGCGTGCCGGTCGAATCGCGTCGCCGTCGCGCTAAATTCCGCGATATTCCCGCGTGACATTGACGGCGACGCGGCGACCTGAGCCACGTGCGAACGCGCGATCGATATTTCTAACACCGCATACGCGGATCGTAATCGCGAAAAATCGCGAATTTCAAGAAGCGCGCGAACATAAACTGAACATTTTTCTTTCTCCTCGCACACGTATTGGCACAGCAATTTCGCGTTTATCTTGTTATAGTAAAAAAATGATATTTCCATCGCAGTGAATATATAAACAGATTACAGAATGCAACGTAATTTTGATATATTTAATATTTTTACATACATCTATCTATATTTAATATTTCTTTTTATTAATACAGTCGATGTGTCGTGAAATGTTAAATGACGTAGCACCAATAACGGAAAACTTTTAAATTTCAAAACGACATTTATATTTCTCAAATGTTTTTATATTATTTTTACATGTCAAATCAATTTGATGGGAAACATCGAAATTTTTGGCCGATTATTGATAACTGATGGTTTCACATTTTGAGGTAGACGCGAGATATTTGCGAGATTAGAAAATGGTGTAATCATCACATTTCACATGTATTTATTGACTACTGTACATATAAAATATATCACAGAAATACCACAGACAATTATTAATACAGTTAATTGTAAAATAAAATTGTGGAACGATAACTTACGTACTGATGACGATTATATTGTCATCACTCACCATATTTTTCACATATCTTAAGAAAAAAATGCAAAATATGATTTTAATCTGTCAACAAAAATGGATCATTAATACCGAAATCACGACTATTATGTGCGCGATATTTATTGTATTTAATTACTAACATGGAATTTTACTAGAAACTTCCGCAATGATCTACATGTGAGATTTTCTTTTAAAACGGTAACGAGAAGAATGCGACCTGCAGTCGCTATGGTATGTGAAATTAGCTGCACTTCGAGATTTATCAAGAAACGATATCAATAGCGATTCTTGAAGTTTCAAAGCAACTTCAGGAAGTGACTCAATTGCGATGACTATTAAAGGTTAAGATAAAATAATTTTACTAAAATATCGTCAAAGATATAGTAAAAGTAACTATTTCTGACATTTACAAAACAAATTGCAACAATTAATTTCCTTACTACAGTATTAAAAGTAATATTTAAGCGTTAGAACTTATATATTTGTTATTATTTATTAATTTTTTTGTATTTTAATAGACGCTACTTGAAATGCTCAAGATGTATGAAAAAATAATGTAATAAAATAAATAAAATTCTTAAGAAAAAAAAAACTGAATGTGAAAAATTTGAAAAATGAAATTTAATAAATAATATTTAAATAATATGAAAAATAGAGTTTTCAACATAAGTTTTGATCCGAGAGCGATTATTGATGTCACGATCTCTGATTTAGACTATTATTTTAATCGAATTTAAGTTCATGGCATGTTCAATTTAATCGATCTTAAATTGATTCAAATCTATTACACTCAAATACATTGTAAAAATAATTTCGATTAAATTTAAATTAATTTAATCAGCTATTTTAATGTATTAAGCTAACTTATCAAATAATATCTATTTTAATTATTAATATAAACAGAATCATTAATTTATTATTTAACATATGGAAAAAATAAATTTAGGATTGCAAATTACATTGATAAAAAATTTATATTAAACAATTTTCAATTGAATTTATTTAATCATTGAATTAATTTATCAAAAACTTGTTTAATATAATTTTAATTTTTAATATCTGTGAACATAATTTACCAATATGCATTTCTAATTTCATTAATAAATAAATGGATATATACGTCATCTTAAATATAGATATCAATAATTTATTATTAAAAAAAACAAATAATGTATCAAATGTATCAAGTAAAGGATAATTGAGACATTAAATAATATTATCGAACTTTGTTCTTTGTAATTGAAATTTGTACATTTTTTTCGAAATTTTCTTTTGAACATCTAAATACATTTCATTTTATTTTAAATACAGCTGCGAGAGAAGACTTAATCTCACATATGATTTTAGGGATATTTCGTTAGATAATATTGGCGAATAGTGTTGATGGCATGATGGTGGCATGCAGCGACGTCGGCGAACTTCAGATGATAATGGAGCATGAGTGTTTTGTGTTTGATTGTTTGTTCGAATTATTGCGGTAACAATGGAGTGTATAGTAGCGAACGTAGAACACATGCGATTTGATATCGAGATTGCTCTCGATGAACAATATGGAGCTCTTCCGTTGCCTTTTACGGGCATGGACAGTACGTACTTTTGCATTATGTTTTACGATGTATTACTTATATTAGGTTAAGTTCATGCGTCATTTGGAGTCTTTTTAATTTATTATTATATGTAACATACAGACGCCTCTACTTTTAACTGTGCCAATATGCCAATAATGACAAATTCTTATGATCATTAATTAATCCTTCTGTAATAATAATATTCAAATAAAAAACGAGCTTTTTTTTAGAATAAGATTCTATAAACTTAAAAACATCCAGCAATTTAATAGTTTTTTTTAATTAAGTTTTACTGCAATTAAGTTTGATAGAAACTCTGATGACATGATAAACTATGATGGAATATATTTGCTAAAAAAAATAGCTATAAATTTTTTTAGAAATGTAATTTTGAACAACGATATAGTTATGATAGTATTCTACGTATTGTCTTTGTTTCTTTTAATTATTTTAAGATGTAGTCTTTCTTTGATTTCTTTGTCTTTTTTTATTTTGTTGATTATTTCTTATTTGATTATTTTATGTTTATTATGAAAAAATGATGCAATTTTCCATTAAAAAAGAAAGGAAACTTTACATTAATAATATGTATAATTTTTAGTAAATAATCTTTTCTTTCTTAATTTATAGAATCAATTGCCGCGGTATGTCAATTTTATCCAAGAGGCACCTGTAGTAAGGGAGCTTCGTGTCCATTCAGACATGTCCGTGGTGATCGCACGATAGTATGTAAACATTGGTTAAGAGGTCTTTGCAAAAAGGGTGATCAATGTGAATTTCTGCACGAATATGACATGACAAAAATGCCAGAATGTTATTTTTATTCTAGGTTCAGTAAGTAATCTAATATTATTCATTCATTAATATTATTAAAAGAAAATAAAAAAATTTTTATATTGAATTTTAAATAGTTAATATAAATGATCCCATGTAACATTTTAATACTGTGCAATACTGTGCATGTACTTAAATACTGTATATAGTTAAATTATATCTAAATAAAATGGATTATTGCAGATGCATGTCACAATAAGGAATGTCCATTTTTGCACATTGATCCTGAAACTAAAGTCCGAGATTGTCCATGGTATGATCGCGGTTTCTGTAGGCATGGTCCCTTGTGTCGGCATCGGCATGTCAGACGTGTTCTTTGTATGGCTTATTTGGCTGGTTTTTGTCCAGAGGGGCCAAATTGCAAATTCATGCAGTATGTATATAAAACAGACAGTTATAAATTATATAAAATTATATTTGGAGCCTTGCTGTATTAAGGCTTGGTTGTCTCTCTGCAGCTATATTGAATTATCATATGACAGAAGCGAGAAATTACATGTAAAAAGTTTTTTGCGTCGTATAGTTTTGTCTTATACTTTTCCCTTAAAAACATGATATTTTTGTATGCTTAAAACTTGTAAAAAATATCAGAAAGTAAGATATCTGTCCAATAAATCACGTAAAAGTGTAAAATAAATCTTGAAATGATACACTGCTTAGCTATCAGAAATTACCAGGTCACATGTCATTTCTCATCTTTGACATCACGCAACCTATATCGTGCCGCGAGAGAACCGAGCCTTAACAATATAATTTGTGTTTAGCCCAAGATTCGAATTACCAGCAGTACAAGATATGCAACCAAAAGAAGGCAAAAAAGTAATGATCACTTGTCACTTTTGTGGAGAAGGGGGTCACAAAGCGATCTATTGCAATAAAATGCCACCCGATGTACGAGAAGCTCAAGTTAGGCAAGAACTCGACAACAATTCTCATACATCGCATCATCACATGAATATACACAATGGCCCACCGCCACCGCGAGGTCCACAAAAGCCACTCGAAGAAGTGACGTGTTACAAGTGTGGACAGAAAGGCCATTATGCTAATAAATGTCCGAAAGGTCATTTAGCATTTTTGAGTCACGCAGGTAGTGGAGGTGGTACACAGAATCAGAATTATCGGAGATGATTTCTCTTCGTTTTATTTATGTAACATGGGTATTGTGATGCTACTTTATCTCATTATTAATTGTCTATAAAAATTTCTATTATACAATAAAATAATTTATCATACCTAATATACATATCAACCGTCACTTTTATAATATTTCAACGATAACCATTTTTATGCTTTTCTTGTTTAACATAACAACATATAAAAAGTAAAAAGTAAAAAGCAGACTTGTATCTAAATGACTATTTTAATACAAATTTCTTTGAGCTAATAAACCGTAACAAATTTGAATATTTGTTATTTTAAGAATGATAATATGTAAGTAGCTATTATTAATTTTTCATAACGCAGCTCCATTTATACATATAAGATGCATCTTAATTATTGCTATATCAGCATCTGATACAGGGTGTTATAAAAAGATATATTTATATATAATATTGATTAATTGTCGGATAAAATCTGTATGACCTGCTGGGAAGACATACATTTTGCTGGTTATAATTAACGCTTCATTTATCTCTTTTCTGAGATTTTACTAACTGTATCAATTATAACCTTATTTCTTGCATAAATGCTTTAAAATTAAACAATGACGTGGAAGGCGTAAAACGTTACGATGATGTGCATTTCAGCTATTATGCATTAAGCATAAACCATTCCAAAAACCATTACAAAAATCTTTTTTAATTATTCAAAATCACTTTATCACGTAGTTCAATTTGACTTATAAACCTAGAACATAATAGCAGAACATAAGCAATTATCAGAGACAAGATTGAACTGATATCAATATTTCATATGTAAATTATGTGAGTAATTACGGGAAAAATAAAAAATGATCTTGATAAATTTTTCCGAAAACATATCTTATCATGTCGTACTGTAATCGATAACTTCAACATAATTAGCGGGAAACAATCCGTAAGTTCCATCAGGTCCAAGCCCTTGCCACCAGCCTTCATCAATTGCATCTATATGTGTGATTATATCTCCAGGATCAAATGTAATTTCTGTGTCATCAGCGGCTTGGTAATCATACAAAGCTCTAGCTTTCATCCCTTCATTATTTGGATCGAAATATAAGTACGGGCCATCTAATTGATTATATAATTCATTTTCGGCGATCTGTTCTTTAGTCTCTGTTGCCTGTTCAGATTCTGGCTGTGGATTGATAGTATTGGTTTTCAATTCCTGATTGGTATTTTGAGATTGAGGCACTGCAGACGAAGAAATCGTCACTGTTTCCGCGTTTGTAGATTTTTTACTTCAACAGATGTTTCCTCGCGAGACTTCACATCAGGCTGATCTTTTATCTGAGCCTCTTCCAATGCTTTTCTCATGGATTCAACATGATTACTCTTAGGTAAAAATTGCTGAGCCGAACTCGTTTTCATTTGACCAGCTGCTGAATTTTGCTCAAATATCGCTCGAGCGTTTATAGTTCTTTGAGCTATCAATTGTTGCGTTTCTTTGCTTCTTTGTCTTCGTAATTCTTCACTTCGCGATTTATGATCGTCTTCAATATCATTGCTATAATTTTGAGCAGCTAACTGATTACGTAAATTGTTTGCTTCCTCGGCACGCTGTTCGGCCATCTTTTGACGAGCAATGGAGTTTTCCTTAGCAGTGACCTAAAACAATAATTTACATACAATCAAGTGAGCGCACATAATATAAATGCAATCAAAAAATATTACAAAATTGAAAATTACTTGTTGTTCCCTCAGTTGCGTTTCCTTTTCTTCTCGAGCTCGGATTTCTCGTTCCAGTTTCTGCCGCTCTTGTTCAGAACGCAGCCGCTCTTGTTCCAATCTTTTTTTCTCTTCCATTTCTTCTTTTTCCCAGAACTGATCTCTTTCTGTTGCATTTATCTCTTGTTCAGGAATTACTCTGCAAAATACGTATTAAGCAAAAAATTGTATCGCATAACACTATTTATTAAAAATTAAAAGATCAGCCTGACATTTTAGCAAAAAATAGTAATCATAAAATAAAAATATCAAAAACCTGCGATATGTTGTTCCTATAGGACCTGTGTGTCCTTCATTTTCACTACGTGGTTCGTTAAACTTATATGCGGAAGCTGTTGCTCGCGCAAGTTTTTCCATAATCGTGTCTACCTCTACATCATCTTCAGAACGTGCGGTGATTGTTATATGTGCTCCTTTCAACAATTTCTCTATGTCTCTGATGTGATTAGCGCATGTTCCTTTCCTAACAATTGGAGCACCTTCTCCTTGCTATAGACAAATATTTTGTCAAATTAAAATTCCTACAGACTAAATTATAACATTAAACAATTTTTCTTTTACAAAAATCATTTGAAATATAACATCATGTTATATTATTAAGTAAATTATATCTTATACATTATTTTCTTCATACTTACCCAATTAATAAGTAAACACTTTGGTAGACTTGTTTTAGTGTCAATAACTTTACAAAATGCATACATAATATGACTACTACTCAATCGATCAATCATTTCTTCCAATCCACCATCTCCTGTTCCGATAACTTTTAAATTATTAGTCTGTCCTTCATAGCCAAACACAGCCCTGTCAAGAACAGAAAAAAATTTTAACTCTGAACTATGAAGTACAATCAAATAAAAACTATATAATAAGTTTATATTGTTTTATGAAATTCTTGGGTCAGTATAATTAATTTATGCATAGAATGAACTATAATGTATATATAAATCATTTATAATTGTCTGTATTTTAAATGATCATATAATCTCATATTAATCTATAATTTTTTTGTCAGATATTTGTAATATTCATAGAAATAGTTAAGCGTATTTAATATCCATATTTTATCTAGATGAAAGCTAATTTATCTAACAATTTGCATATTTTTCTTTCTACTCGGTAACAATTATCAAAAATGAATAAAAAAAAAATGTGATTTTGGAACCAACAAATAAAAATTAAAAAAAGATGGCTGGACTCGATAAGAACACAGGTGCTTATTTTCAAACCGATACTTATATGAAACAATGGATTTTGTGAGATCATGTGTACGAATGTTTCGATTTAATATTACGAACTCGATACCGGTAAGAAACGACCGGCTGACGTATGTACGTACACACGTATACCGAAACCGGAATCGGTGCTAAGCACCGAATCGGGGACACGAAAATCAGGACTTAGATATACGCCTACCAGTTAGTAGACAATTTGTCGTCGACCACGCTGTGCCAAGCGGCCACCAAGGCATCTTTGTTTTTCGTCAGATTAATTGACATGTCGCTCGCTAAATCATCAAGTTCATAACAAGTTCCGGGGCGGATTCGATAACGGGAGGAACCGCACAAGTCATATAAATAGACAGATGACTGACTCCCACTTTTCACTTTAAAATAGTGTTCCGACGCCACCTGACGGACTGTAAGTTCATTCACAGTATCAACCAATCAGCAACGTGGACAATGGAACGTCATTCTCCAAAATTATTTGTACATATCTCGCACCATTTTTTTTTTGAGCCATGCAGGTATAGCAAGTGGCACTGCCAATACACATTGGGTGCTTTCCATTTAGTGACACAAGTCGACACAAGTATCGTTCTATCTTTCTTGGCTTTCAATGATTAACAAGGACAAAATGATACTTGTGTCGACTTGTGTCATTAAATGAAAAGCACCCATTACCGATTGGTCAATTAAATATTAGATCTTTTGATAGATAGGCCGAAAAGAGTGGACAAAAATTTCTAAGCATCGGTCAATGTAAAAGCCTATCCAAACAAACTTGCATAGCAGCATAACCATATGGATAAGGAAAATTATCTAATCGCATTTTACATGTGTCTTTATAATAGAAATGCGATTGGATTTTTCTCCTATTCTCCTATTCTTTAACTATGATTCGTCCATTACTTATAACTTAAAGCTTAAGATTGCACCAACATTATTTTGAATTTTAAGTGGCATTTAATATGTAATATGTGTCACATATATTATGTATTAAGTCTCGCTTAAAGTCCAAATAATATTGGTGCAATCGGATCTAAATCACCTATTGTAGACCGAGACTTACCATATGCATAAGGAAAGTTACCCAATCGCATTTCTATCATAAGACACATGTAAAATACGATTGGATACTTTTCTTTATGTATATGATTATGCAAGTTGCTGAGTAGACCCTTAGTCTAGATCCTCATGCAGACACCGCCTCTTTGACATCGAGCGCTGATTGGTGAAAAACGAATAATGGAGGTAAATAATAAAGATTCATTTGTCATTTTATCTCCACTATTTATTTCTCGGCAATCAGCATCTGTGTCAAAGCGCTGGTGTCTGCATGAGAATCCAGGCTTAGTAATCTAGTATTATATAGAAAATTGCTTTTGATATGACCTTGATCACAGTATATACAGTAGCGCAATTCTCCGTCGATTAATTGAACCTATTTTTAAAACGATTAATGCAAAAATGTAAAAATGGCAAAACATAGAAAACAAAAATATTTATTTTTGCATGTTGACTATGCATTGAAGATTATAAATATAAACAATACAAATGCAAATAGAAACTTAATTTATCAGGAAAATATTTAACGAAATGTGTGTACAGACAAAACTTAATCGGATGAAAAGTTTTTGAATTACCTTACACGCCAAATTGTAAACTTTACCCATAAAGGGTCGGGGTGATTGTACCGTTGCTTAGATTTATACGAGGCAAAGCCACTAAAATAGTTTTTATCAGTCATTAGCTACTTTTTCCCATCTAGCCTTCATCTGGTTTCTCTCATGGTATGTAAGACATCCATGCTAATAAAGGGAGAAAATATAGAGGAAAAGTGAGACGGAATATCCGTGCCTTGATTGGTTACGTACTTTGCTCGCGCATGTGCAGTTCATTTTTACATACGCTGAAATCAGGAGAGTTGCGCTACTCGCTCTATATATATATACTGTACCTTGATTTTGGCCGCGTCTAGTTATATATAAGCGAACGTCGAGGGGTTTCAAGATTTACTTTGATCTTACTGCATCGCTGTGTACTGTTGTACGTGGTACGTCCTTTGTAATTATTCTTATTTCTTAAAGATATATTTAAACGAAATAATAAAATAGTCAAAAAAAGGATTCGATTAGTGGCAAACGCTGTCAATTTACGACTGTTATATACATAAATCTGCAACCACGTGGAATTACACATAGATCGAACTTGAGCCAAAATGAATGCGCACATGGATATAGATAGAAATGAAACAAATGAGAAAACTGCTCACGATATGGATAATATACAAAATATATTGCCGTCGGATGAACATTGTTCTGAATTAAAATTATTTTGGCAATGTAATATTGAAAAATTAACAGAAAACGAGAAAGAAAGATGCTCTCGTTCTCCCAAATCATCCGATGAAGAATTATCAAAAAAAGACATAATTAATGACTGTGATGCATTTACTAGAAAAATTATTCAATCAACTCAAGAGATAAATTTGGAAATACAAGTTCCTACAACAAATAATGAATTAAATAATAAGAAACAGGCAGAAAGTTTATTTCTGAAAGAGCCAAGTAAGTTTAAATACTGCTTTATTAACTTTTTATGAAAAATTTATCCAGTTTTATTTATAATATATAAAATAATTTATTGTATGCATTGTATATAAAATATATGTCATGATGCAAGTATATCTTAATATATCATATAAAAGCATTTAAGATATTAAGGGATACTATGAGATAAGTTGAAAAACATAATTATCTTTCTCAGCAAAATGTTAGTAAATTGTTGGATTAGCAACCAATCAAATTGATCAGAATATTAGCAGATTGATCTCGTCTGAGATCAGTTATACTCCGCTTATATTGTGTTAATAAAACTTGTTGATATTCAATGCCAGCAGACTGTTGGCAGAAATCAAACAAGCTTTGCATATACTTATCTACTTGAAGATACGATTTTTCAATAAAAATTTCGTTTTACTGCAAATGAAAATTATATTGAATCGATGTCAGAAGCGAGAAATAACATGCAAAAAGTTTCTTGCATTGTATAATTTTATTTTGTACTTTCTTCTTAAAAACATATTTTGATATCCTTAAAACTTGTAAAAAATACCAAAAACTAAGATATCTGTCCAATAAATCACGTAAAAGTGTAAAATAATTCTTGAAATAATGATACATTGCTCAGCTATCAGAAATCATCAGAGCTTTCCAGAAATGGGTTTCTGCAACACGGAGAAATCGAGATTGGGAACACGCACACAGAAGAGGCGCTATATACATATTCACATGTATGTACATACATGGTTCATCCTTTGTGTAGGTGCCTTGCATCATTCTCAATTTCGTTTGTTCCATGTTGCAGGCGGTCTGCTTATGGAAGCGCTAAATACTAGATCTAGTTGTTTTTAATTTAGCTGAATAGTGAGCATTATTTTATACTTTTATGTGATCTATTAGACAGATATTTTACTTTCTAGTATTTTTCACAAGTTTTAAGAATATGAAAGTATTATGTTTTTAAAGGAAAAGTATAAAATAAAGCTATACGACGCAAAAAACTTTTTGCACGTCATTTCTCGTCTCTGACGTCACGTAACTCATGTCACATCGCGAAAGCCTTAAGTTAAATTAAAATTTTAAAAATATATTTTTTAAGAATTGAACTTTCAGATAAATTAAAAAATCAATTTTTTTGACTCATCACTCTGATGTCTTCCCTTAAATTTTTTATTATATGATTATATGTATATATGTATGTGCGTATGCACGCGTGTGTATATGTACGTGTATGCGTGTGCATACGTATATGATGTGTATATGTATATACATATATGTATTTGTTTGACAGAACATTGTAGAACATCGCTTGACATTATTTCGGCAGAATATGATTCAAATTCTGATGCAGAAGAGACAAAAGCAGAAACTGAGAATCAACATACTATGCCACAGATACAAAATTTACAACAATATCGTACAGCAGACTTATGCGAAGATGATAGTGACGACGATTTTAGCAATACTACTAGTAATAGAAGTAGTAGTAGTAGTAGTAGTAGTGATAGTAACAGCAACAGCAATAATGATAGTGACAACGACGAGGATATCAATATAAGTGATAATAGGTATTATTTTTAATCTATAAAAGCAAAATTATGATAAATTTAATATTTTTTTATAAAAATGTTTGTAGAAATTCATAGAAACAATTCTCTTGAATTCAATGTATATAATAAATTTTTTTAAGCTTTTTTTTTAATTACTTTAAATGGATTTTCAATCCAATGTGTACAACAGTATAATGATTTCACTAAGATCTTATAGTCTAATAGAATGTTTCTTTGGAAAAAGCTATTTTTAAATTATTTTGATATATTAATTTTAATATATTAATTTTTAGGAAAAAGAAAGTAAATAAAAAGAAGAAAAAGCAAAACTATGATGATGATGATGATGATGATCTTCCAATAGAAGACTTACATATTACTGTTTCTGAATACTTGTGTAATTTATTAGGCGAAGTAAGCAATATAAATTGATAATACATGTATACAAAATAAAAGCATCTTTATGTTATGCTAAGCATCACATCTGAGCGCGCAAATTTTTTGCAAACAGATTGGTCAACGTTAAATAATTTTTTATTTAATTATCATCATAGAGATTCGGCATTTTCACGTAAAAGTTTTCATTTTACGATATGTTCCACAGAATCTATAAAAAAACGTGCATGCGTGCGTGCCCGTGTGTGTAATTTTTATATGTAGAAATATATATTTACAGAAAGTTATTAGATAATCTAATGTACAAGAACAAATGATTTCTAAATGTTTAAATCTTATCTAATATGTCTAAATATTTTTAGATTAATCGGATAGTGGGAAGAAAGATAGTCATAAAACCAAAGCCTAGTGAGCGAACACTTGACCTCGACACAATTTTGTTTTTGAACAAAGGAAAAAAAGCGCTCGGTAAAATAATCGATGTAATGGGCAAAGTGAGTGAACCGGAGTACATTGTTCTCAAGGATATTCAAGACATAAAAGATAATGGCATCGAAAAGGGCGTGGAAGTTTATTATTGTCCAAACGCAAAACATACAAATTATGTTTTTCTAAGCGAATTGATAAAGTAAATATAGTGTATATTTATGGACATAGTGTATACTATATGCTATTATCAATACTATAATCAAATAAATGCTTGCAGGATAAAAGGTTGCGATGCAAATGATGATGAGCCGGTATTTTCTGATGATGAACAAGAGTCCATTTATGAAAAATTGAAGCAGAAAAATAAAAATTCTAGCAATACATCGAAACGTATGTTGAATGAGTGTATTTCAAATTCAATATAAATTGTTACAAATAGTTAAATAATTATAAATAATTGATCAATTTTTAGGCTTTTGCAAAAATCCAAACAGGAGTCAATCAAATTCAAGTAACAAAAATAGAAAAGACCAATTTCAGAGGCATGATTCAGAGGAGGAGAGGCAGCAAGAGGGAGAAAGCAGTCATTTTAATTCTACACAGAACTGGCCGTATTCTTATCATTATCCTGGCACGTCACAACAATACTCGTATCAGAATCCAACTTATTGGCAACCAATGTCATCAAATATAAATATAATGTGCAACGGGCCATACGTACAGCACATGTATAACGAACAATATATGCAGTATGGCAATTACAATCCAAATAACTCGGAGCAACATTATCAAGGTACTAATCCTAATTTCCAAAGCAACATGCATCAACATTTTAGATTCCCCTTTAATGCTGCTCCAAGATTCAATTCTGCATTTCCACCCGAAAATATGACTTACACTCGATTCTCGAATGCATCATATCCATATATGAATATGACTTCATATCCGACTTGTACACAATCACTAATATCATCTGATACTAGCATACCAATAACCAATGCTAATGCATATTGGTCTGCTCCTCCGCCTTTTCCTCCTTTTTCTCTTCATCCTCCTCCTCCTCCTCCTCCTCCTCGTCATTCTCTTCCTCCTTCAACGATAACGTCTTCAAATACTTCAGATGCAACAATCATTGGTCCAAGTGATTCACCAATGACTTAATATATTAATCTTTCCTCATCAATAATTTGTATATTTTTACTATATCGATTATGTTGATTTATATTATATAACAAATTTTATATTTTTGATATTATGTAATTTATCAATAGTAAATTATTATACATATATATTTATATATAAGCAATATTATATGATTTTATTTTGTTATGTGTATGTATATATATATATAGATGTATAGATAAAATTTATTAAATATTGCAAAGAGAAATGCGCTTTCCATATCTTTTTCAAAATTTAATCTTCGCTCCTTTAAAACTGCAATATGTATTTAGGCAATTGAAAGTAACAAAAATATTTATTCCAAGTTCTATCTTTTTCTTGTCAGTGATTTGTCATTAGAAAATCGTGATTTTTCAACTTATTTAAAACAGGTTCTTCTAACTGATGTTCAGCGATTGCAATGTCATTTTTTATTTCTTTAATAAGTTTGTCTGCAAAAGAGTAAGTAATAAGATATTTTTTCAAAAATAATAGAAATAATTTAAAAATTAGTAGCCATTCTAAATTATTTTGAAATAATTCATTTACGTATTTTATATTGCTATTATGGCAATGTTATTACCTAAAGAAGAGAAATCTCTTTCTGGTCTAATATATCCGACAATAATAACTTTAAGTTCATCCCCATAGAAATCATTTTGGAATTTATGTAGTAAGTGAACTTCCTGAAATGAAAAAAATTTGTTAATAAAATACCTGTAATGCTATAAAATATTTTGTAATACAATTTATGATAATCGGATTGTTTTAATTAAAAAGAAAGTTTCAAGCTTTCATATCTCCAAATTCTTTTTCATACCATTGATTTTTTCTCATTTTTATAATACGGATTCCATCCTATGCTTGCGACCATTTTATAAACTTGTCCGTGCAAAGATGCCCAGCCATAATAAACTCCAGTACTTAGATCCTTCGGCAAAGCATTTACCACGGATTCTGGGAAATTAGCTGATAATTATAAAAAAAGAGAGAAATATATAAATTTTCTTCAAGATTTTTTCAATATTAAATTTCTTACATCATTCATCTCCTATTTTTTTTTTCATATTGAAGAAAAAAGCGAAAAAATGAACAGTGTGAGAAGTTCAATTAAACAAAAATAGGCCTATTCGAGAGATAATTTTGTATTGATTCTAATATTTTATTCTTTTTATTTTCATGTTATTATATACAACTATATAAACTTTTATGTATACAGTGATTTTACATTGAAAATTGCACAACAACACTTTACTGAATTGTATTTTGTCATATATTTTGAACTTAAAGTTTTATCGTTTTTGAACAAAGAATTAATTATAATCGCTTATTTTAACTTTTCATTTTTTGTTATAATTTATCGTCTTTAACGTTTAATTTATTATTGAAAAGTTTTGTAATATTTTTGATTGTATTTATCCTTTGTATTTGCCCTTTGTTCGATCTTATTTTTGCTGTTCATTTGTTCCATCCATTTATTTCACATTTGTTTATATATATATAATAATTTGTGTTTTATTAACTTATTATTTTTTAATTTAATTGACATTGCATTTATTTTATTACTCTTTTATTACACTATTGCACTTATATGACTAATTTTTTATTTGAATCAAATTTAGATCATAAAAGCTTGATATACCCGAAACTTTTCTTTTGTACAATAAATAATATATTTATTATTTATATTATATTTTATCGAAAACACTTTTATTTGCTCGTATCTTGACCTTTTCATGTTATTTTGTATACACAAAATCGACTCTTATTAATTTCGATAATACAGATCTTAGTTGCGAAGATACAAGAAAAAATTAATATTATTTTTTTAAAACAACTAAGTAAGCGATTTAATTTTTGTCATTTTCCTATGTTATCGGTTACTTTATTTTGTCTATTTTGTTGTATATAGCTATCAATACGAAGATCGATGTATTTTGAAAGGTTTATCTTTCTTTGAAAGATATATCTTTCATAATTTTTGAGCATACCGTTCATTTGTTACAACAATAACATATCTCAGAAAATAAAGGTTTCAGAAAATGCATTGAATTATTAAGATTTTATAATATTATTTTTGAATGCGATTTTAATAATTATATAGAAATAAAAGTATCGTTAGCTTTTCATTTTATGCACTGAATTCTTATCTACTAAAAATAATCGTTAAAAACAAGTCCTTTTTCGCTTAATATTTTTAATGCAAAATTAAAAATTTTAAAAATGAATTTTAAAAATTCAATCATGTCATATATTCTACCAATAATAAGAACGTTAAAGATCTATTTCTTTTTTGGAAACAACTTAAAAATGACAATTTTTTAATTATGTCGTTATTATAACAAATGAATAATGTAACTGTCAAATAAGAAATACAAATAAGAAAATTATAATATATTATGTGAGAAAAAACATTTTACATATTTCATTTTTCTTCGGAGTATTTTATGCTCGATTAATTTTAAAGATGTATGATTTATGTAAATAACTTTTTTCATCACATAACAACTGCCTACGATGTAAATACGTATATATTAATTACGATACAAATTAAATCTGAATTTTATATGTAAATAAAAAATATAATAATACTAGAAAATAAACAGCGCGCGCATAACGTAATGTCTAGCATATCATAAATTTACAAGATCGATTTGCAATGTTGAATACACAAAAATTATAAAATTATATAACGCGCTTCCAAAACTATACCATCAAAAATAATGTTGAGAAGAAAGAATTCAAGATTCTACAAAAAATACCGATTTGAAAAAGTGCATCTTTCATGTCTTAACGAAGTGGACGAGCATTTTTATGTATCGCGACTTTTATCTTACAACGATTCCAATCAAATTCAAATTGGAGTATCGCACGCCAAGCGTAACGATTATCCTACGAGAGTTTGATCAAAAGGAAGAATTCTTTCTTTATTCATTTTAGCTCTTAAATTAAAATTAAAAAAACATTACATCACTTTCAGCGCTCGAATTGTCGAGCGAGAAAGTGCGAAAAGTGCATTTGAAAAACAAATGGGCTCCGTCGATTCGAAATCGTCACGCGCGTGACGAAACAAAAGGAAGAAAAAGAAGACCTAACCTCCAACGAAGTTCGTTTTTCTTCGTCGCATGCAAGTTTCGAATGCAGGTTTTAATCAGTGACATCAACGGGAAGAGACCGAGGAGAAAAATATGGCACGTGAAGACTGCACGTGGTCGCTTTTTAATGAGAGAAATTGTCGAACATCGATATCGATGTCACAATCGATATCCCTTCAATTTCGGAGATTAGACCGTGTTGATTTCGGCACGTGATCGAAATTCGAAGGACATTCGAACGAAGTGAAGAATACCTGTCGGGATGCCGAGCGCCTTCGAGCCCCTGCCGAAGCCTTTGACGACGACCCCGGACACGAAGTACGGCAAAACCTTATTGTCCATAATTGTCACTCGATGCGCCAACCGCGTCACTGAGAAAAGAAATGATAAACAAATGATTAATAATGTGACGTGACGTTATCCTTGCCGATCGGACGCATCAGCGCGTATGTCAGCATTACGACAAACCCGACACTCGCACCGGTAACGAATTATCGTAAACAAGTTTCGAACAAGTCTGCATGATTCTCTTCCCTCGCGGAAGATTCGCGGACTCGATATTTTCTTGATTTTCTGCAAATTGATCCCCGTCGATTTTTCGTTGCTGATGCTTTGCAAGCGAAAATTAAATGATTCGTAAGGCTGAAAAAGATGTAAAAATTCACAAGAAAATATCACGTTGCATACCAATAACTGACTATTGATTCTTATTTAGTATTTGTTTCTTATTGATTTGAAAATCTCAGGAATCTTAATAATTTATTTGTATTTATCTAAATAATAATTTTCAATGCTTGAACGCTCAGTAAGTGATTAACAGTAATATATCAATATTATTTTTTACTGGATATAAATGTAATATAATATATATCTAATTACATTGCTGAATAGAAAATTATAATATTAATTGTAATGTTATTGTTATTTTGCGTTTGGAGTAGTGATTGTTTATATATAATATACTTATAACAATTAAAAAAGATTTTTCATTTGGTGAGATTTGTATTTAATTATATTTGGTGAATTACTCTTGATATGTTTTATGAATTTTATATATCTTTCGTCTCTTTTTTATAATAGATGTAATAATTTGTTGTTCAAAATTTAAGTTACAGATTTCTATTAGACATTTATCTTGTATTTTTATATCATTGAAACTTTTTAATCTTATAAATTGCTACTGTACATTAATTTTTTGCAATCAAAATCATTATTCATTGATTGATATGATATGAATGATGGAATTCTATATCGTCTTTGTAGTAAATTTTTGTCTATCATTTAAATATTCTATTAGATAATTTAAAAAAAATCTAATTTTTCAATAATTTGCCTTTTTTTGCATTTACTCAATATTCGCACATGTTGAATACATAGAATTATCCACTCTACAGGTTGCTAATGTTAGAATGCGTCAGTCTACTTTTTTCATAATCTTCTTTATTTACTATAAAACTATGTTTTTAACAAATTGCAGAAAGTATACGTGTATGAAATATTATCGATCGCTCGAACGATATTCAAATGGAACGGACGAAACTATTCATAATCACACGTAGAGAGAACGTAGAGAATTCTCTCTGGTGGGCTCGCGATACGCTCCGTAATGTTCGATATAATGATAGTTTAAATTAACATAAATTAATTTAAATATCACAAAGGAAATCCTGTTAGAACCGAGATGCCCTCAGCGAAATTATCTCCGTAGAAGTTTTATTTATCATTATGTTATGTCTATGCGATACTGATATCTCTTCCTTTCTCTTTACTTCATTCCTCTGAATTCGGATTGCGGCACGGACATTATACAATATTGCAACCGTTTATAGATTTTGTTTTTAAAGAGTTCCAATGTATCAATTGCGCGTATTTGTCAAAAATGATTGCACGCATACATACAGTTGTTACGGACTCAGAAAAAATTAAATAAAATTTGCATACACATAAGAGGAATTATAAGAACAGAAATAATAAATTTCTTTTCTAAAATAAATTTCTATCGACTTTATCGGATAATTATCATGCTTAAAAAATATTCCAAGCGTATTCAGAGAATAAAACAAAATAATGTTCGAAAGGATGCGTAGTTCCACGATGATAATACGAGCGTTGGAACTGAAAAGAGAAAAATCCGTTAAAAAATAATTATATTATTTACACGATATATGCAGGTACATGAAATGCAAACTGCGCACGAGGTCTCCTTTTGTTGAATATCTCAGTGGATTTCGATCGATGACTCGAATGCGATCTCGATCACGAGAGTTACAGATGGAAAGCATTTTCTGTTTTCGTGTTATGTTCAATTGAGATAATCTAGAATCCGATTTTGAATTCAAAAATTACAATCGATATAATTTCGACTGTAAATTTTATGTCCAACAACTGTAAACGCACGAAAAAGAGGGCTCACTTTCGCATGCGCATGAAAATCTCTGTATTAATCCGGATCGAGATCGGTATAATTGTCGGCGAGTTCAATTCTTCGATGCTATAAAAATAAAGAGGTCTCTGGCATTGATCATCGCGTTTTCATCATTAATGAATAAGCATGGGGACTATTTTTTCGCATGCATCGATACTTAAACTCGGCAAAATTATACCGATTCCAATCGCTGTTTGGATCCTTGTTGAAAAGATGCACGATCGCAAATGTGAGTATATTTCTATAGTGCTTTACATATAATACGTACGAAAGAACTCCCACGATATCATGCAAGATTAATGTCTTTATTACATTGAAACGACCCGGCAACTATATCCTCTTAATAACGGCATCATATTATTATTATTATTATTATTATTATTATTATTAGTATTATTATTATTATTAGTAATATTATCGTTACGATTATTTCTTTCTTTTCCGGTTCTCTACGATTCGATTTCAGCTTTTGCAGACATACACATTCACATTAGCGGAGACTATCTGATTCGATGTCTTTTCAAGTTGCTGCATGCGGCGTATGACGTAAGAGTTCTTGTCTTTTCCCTCTCTGATACGTGATAATAAATTTTTTTTTTTTTTCTAGAAATGCATGATTTATTATCGATCTAATTTTTAGGAAAAGCGTAGATTTCCGGATAGACTAAACAGATTCAAGGCATTTTGCCGCATGTACCAGCTACTATATTAATACTATTACCCTATTTTCGTCACACGTTATTCGTTACTATATAAAAATAATACAATAACTAATAATTATAATGATATTTATACTACTAATTAATGATCAGTTGAAATGGCCATTCCTCTTGAATAGGAATAAGTAAATAAATCTATCCATAGTTTTAATTTCTAATATTTAATATAAGTGCTTATCATATCTATGTTCAACAAGGTATCCTTGACAATTATTAACGTAACAACTTGTCAGCAGCGCAAGGACTAAATTGTATTTTAACCTTTCTTTCTCTTCTCTTCCTTTATTCTTCTCCCTTCTATCTCTGGGCCGCAACAGTATAATCTTTTATCAATTAATCTCAAGGTCAATGAGTTAACAACACAACATGTTATGCAAGCATTACTGAAATTCTGTAATATCGATTATATTTGGCAAAGCGACATGTAAACTCGCTGCTTAATCTTGCTGATCGTAGTATATAGGCTCCGCACGGAGGCATATTCTTTTTCCTTTTTTTTTTCCTACAGGCATCTAGGCACAACAGATATAAAAGTAGTACACTCAGAAGTATCCAGATTTTCTCGTAGCAATCTATTATTTTTAAAATAGCACTATCATATATATCCTAAGATAACACGCACTGACGTGTGTTCTTTTCCTTCGTCTGTACTTATTTGTTTCTTCTCTTACTACAACGAGCCTGTAGTGTTAAAGCAAATACGTATATTTATATATGTATATATCATTTGCACATAAATGGGAACGCGTCATTCGCAAGAATGTTAACACAACAAGCTCGCATAGCGCAATAGTATGGGTTACAACATCGAGAGCATACGTGTATATATTCGATCACATTTCCGCACATAACTCTCATGTATATAAAATCTCTTGTAGAATATACCAAATCCATTACAACCGTAGTATCCACAATTAAATCTCGTTTACGTACATTATATATATATATATATATATATATATATATATATATATATATCTATATATATATT